AATCATTAACACACATTGCATTCCAACATCGATGAGCACATATAACACAACCGAATACATGGAATTTTGTTCATTATTACAGTTCGATTGGTGTAAACACCCTATGGGACAAGAAAAGCATCCGCTTGTAAGTAATGCCCATAATAAAACTTTGAATTGGACTTTGAGGTGTCTAGCCTTACGAACGAGGAAGAGAGCAACTTGGCTGTTGGTTGGAGCAGAAATCCAGCGACGAACCAGGCATTAAACGACGTCTACGTCAAAGCTAGTGCATGCTTCTCGAATAAGAAAATCAGCTTGGAAGATCGTTTGTGAGTAGGATGAACTACTGACCTGTATGGTAATCTCAAAAGTTTAAACCATAAGAACCATTCCTCATCTCCTTGCTACATGAGCGTTCTCTGTGGTAAAAGCGAGGCTCCGCACAGATCGTATTCTTACGCTATCTATTGCGAGAAAACAATGAGACAGGCATACTAGGAAATGTGGTAATGAAAGAACAAGCCATGTAATCCTAACGGTTCGTGAAAAACACATTTAGAAAAATGCAGCCATAAAGAGTGTGTGGTGTGTATGGGGGAGGGGAGGGGGATGGTTCAGAGTTCTTCTTTCACAGTAGGGGAGGGGGAGGAAAGTAGCGAAAGTGAGTGACAATAAAAGATGGACTCAGATAGAAAGAGAAAGTATACTCGCACAGATATTGGCGTTGACGAGCATGCACAAAAACGCACAAACGTGAGCGACATACGCTTGTGCGTGCATGAATGAGTGGTGGTTGTCTATGAAATGAGCAGTTCAAGACAGTTGCTGATTTTCGCACACAACGGCTCACATTGAACAGACAAAATACGGGTGAATTCGCATGGCCATGGCGACTGCTATGCAGTTGGGGGGAGGGCGGAGAGAGAAAGAGAACGAAGTATCTGACGGACCGGGTTGGACAGTACAAAGGGAAAGAAACATAATAGTGTGCAAACAGACCGCGCACCAATAGGAAAAGAGGATTCAAGATGGGAATGAGCGCATTTGAAAAAGGGTTTAGTCATCAGTGTTCGCCAGCTCATTTGTGAATGTCACAGGGTTTGGGCATAGGGTGAGAAAACGATGGAGCTTATACTTAGTGAAACGGGAAAAACAGCCACAAAACACTTGTGTGAAGGATAGGGAAAAGATGAAGAGTGGGGAGAACCGGGCAACAAAGGCAACCAAAGCCAGAGTATGATGATGATGGTGATGATACCATTAGCATTGGCCCTTCCCAAGACGACAAAAAAGAAACAAACTTTCGAATTCACTGGCTCGGAAAGCTCAGGTCGATGTAAGTGAACAAGTGCAACAAGTTGTGCCGATTTCCGCATTTCAGTTCCAGTAGAACAGAGCGCATCCAGGTTGCGACGGACAGAGTCCAGATGGGAGGTGGAAAAGATCGAAGATATAAACTGGCGTACCTAAGGAATCGACGACGAAAGAACAGTCCACTGTAAACAGGGTGAGACTGGAAGTGAACAAGCTTGAAACCGAGTACGGTACTTCTACCGGGACTGCGAGGTCACAATCAACAAATATAACTTCAGCATAGTGAAAAAGAACAAACTGCAGAAAGTAAACAAAAGCAATAACTAATCACTGGAACGCCTAAACAAAGTTGGGATAGTTGAAAGGGACGTGGATGGTAAAGAAACACAAACAGATTGCAAACGATCGGATTGGGTGGCTTACCAATTGTGTGAGAAGATTTAGGATAAATAAGCGAGTGTGCACAATGTGTAGTTAAACGTACTGGGTTGGACCGGCGTTATTCCACGTTGTTAAAGTTGGTTCTTAATCGATTCCGGATTACAGTGGAGGGTCGCACATCAACCCGCATGTACACGCAAGATGGAGATAGGAGAAGCGGTAACACGTGGACCACAGGGAGAAACGAGTGCCCGAAACCGATACCTAAATGTTCGGATACGCGAATGAAAGACGCCATGAGCAACGATGTGAGGGAGGACAAAGCGATACCAACTGTAACACCGACTGAGGTGGTGAGTGATAACAGCGTAACCGGGGAAAGAAACGCGCAACAAAAATCAAAAACGGGACAAGTCAGTTAGGAAATTTCCTGACATTCATTCTTGTTCGAGGGCTTACGGGGAAAACCACAGCTAGAGGACTGATAGCGAGCTATGCATCAAGTCAGAACAACCGATCAACAGAGTGGAGAAAAGTGAGCGAGAGGAAAGGGGGTGAGATGAAGAAAATAAAACGCAGAGTGAAACAAACTAAATCAAACAAGGGTTTGTGTGGAAGCAGGCGATTTGTTGAATATGACGGTGGCGCAACTAGGGTACACATGCGCGCGTTTGTATGCGTGTTTGAATGTATGGTTAGTTTCGATGGGATCTGGAGGCACAGTGCTTGCGCATCAAAACAACTCCGGCGTGTGCGTGTGTGCCATGTAATAATGACATAGACCCGTGTATATCTGGTTTACAAANACACACACACACACACACACACACACACACACACACACACACACACACAAAAACAGACACGTACAAACATATGAACCGGGCGCGGACACACGCGATCCATGGACCGCCTAGTCAGAAAACCTGAAGTAGGCAAACTAGGTTCCTATGGCGTAGATAACGATGATGACAGTATGATCAAACTATCACAGATGCGTAAATGTACGTGCACCCGCACGCTAACATACGCATATACAATGTGAATTAGCAGAAACAGTGCGTGTTTGTGATGGACAAAAATGAGGAGGGTACTGGTGGCTAGTGTGGGCGAACGAGAATAACAATTGATCAAAATTGAATGACCGAAAATCACCAGGTTGTGAAAAGGCGATCACGAGCGTGGGAAGCAAATATGGGAAGAGACAACCACAAAGAGAACTAGGTTGAGCTCGTCGGGATCACATCGGTTTGAATCCGATGGGTGCTGAATATGGATATAAGTGGCTGGGACATCACAAAGCAATGACCATATGAAGTATCTCTCGGGACGGTCGGACACAGGATGAATGAATGAATGAATGAATGAATGAATGGATAGTGTGTACACAATCAATCCAGCTCAGCGGTTAAATTCACATAGGTGACACGGCGACTGGAGATGCGTATCGAAGCATGGACCAGAAGTCGATGTGAACGCGAAAGGCATCACAGGTTGGATCGAGTGACAGTAACGGTCGCGGTCGGTGCTAGCTCCGATCTATCACGGGTAGACGAGATAGTGTGAATAATGTACACAAGGTGTGTCCATGTCACCATAAAGAGTATATGAAAGCACAGTATCTAAGACGTCAGTGGTAAAGCTGGACAGGATTGGATTAGGTTAGGGTTAAAGATGAACAAACGATGATGGCATAACAACCGGAACAAACAAACAAACCAAAGTGCGCTTAAACGTGACATAGAAGAGGATCCGGATCCTGGAGCTCCCGCGTGTGTTGAAGCAAAATGACTCCGGTGCAATAGTCCAAGAGACTGAAGATGGTGACAGTAGTGATAATGGCGATCCACACAAAGCCCAGGCAGGGCAACAAAAGAACAAGTGCGAAAGAAAAATTGATCAAGGACAATCATGGTGTATGGACGTATGTATATGTCTGTGAACAAGTGTGAAATAATCGTAAAGTAGTGGTGGTGGCAGTCACGTCAGTAATAACAGTGGCAAACTGATCGAGCGCAATTGTGTGGTTTCATTGGTTTAAAGACCAAGATAGTTGTTTCGGGTAAATGGTGCGGGATGTAATAGTTCATTCTGTACGGGAATCCGAATGATTGGCTACCATATCTAGGCTGGGCAAAGTTAGAGTTGGTGGTCGACCGGCGTTCGGGTTTAATAAAACTGGACCAGTTCCAGCACCCGGGGCCGAAACGAATACAGTTGTAGCCGTGGCCGCGCCAGGAGCAGTACTTGACGGATTAGGTGCACCAGATCCGTTGTTGTTTGCAACATTAGAAGTGAACCCGTTTCCAGCTCCTGCACTGTTTGGTAAGGGAACAGTCGTTAACAAGGGCGCTTGAGCGAAACTGGCGGTGTGAGTCACTGTACCCGTACCAGGGCCGTTGCTACCTGAACTCACATTTCCAGTCCCATAGTCGGCATTAGCTCCAACCGTGAACACAGTTACGGAAGTCGGATATTCTGCACCAGCACCAGCAGGATCGACAGAATCCTTAATGGTCGCGACTGTGTCTACACCACCAGCACCGTTCACAGCTGCTTCATCTGAGTGCAGAAGACCGGTAGCCCGGGGTNTGTCGCAGGCGAACAGCAGCGGCTGCAGCTCCTAGTTGCAGTGACGCTGATAATAGCTGGTTTTCCTGTTCCAGATCATGAACCCGTTGCCGTAGAAGTCCGTTTTCCACACGTGTCTGCAAAATTTAAATGATAAAAATCGAAAATGATAATAAGGTTAACACCAAAAGATAGCAATCAGACAGTCGGTATTGGAGTGCATTCGGATCAGTGAGAAAAAGCTTTAAACAGTGATCTTTGGTCAGTTATAATCGGAAACTAATCATTTTCCTTGAAAGTCCTGCTGAAAGGCTCCGTATGGTCCAGGGTGAGTAGTTAAGGCAGTGGTTGATATCCCCGCACCCACATCTTGTACCTCGCGTAATACTCCTATACGACCAATCGTCTCGAACAGCTCTTGCTGATGAAGCCCTGCCCACCCGTTACAGTTGTTTTTACACCAACATAAGGGAGCAAAAAGTCAACGTCCGGGGCTATAATCGGGTCAGTGAACCACCGGCAGTTCACCTAGGTAAAATCCTGACTTTAAGCCAATCAAGAATAGGCTTGCGAAATATGTTATCGGTTGTGGAAGCGGTCACCAGTGTGATTGGGTGCCTTGAGCACGTTTGACTCAGCCTAAAGAACGTATGACGCGATTAATCGCATTCGAATGACTCCAGTTTTCACACATTACCCGGTAGCCTTATGGGTCAGGCTTTCGGTGGTCAGAGGCTCCGGCTTTGTATATATTGCAATAAGTGGCATATATATAGGTGTATTTTTTGATTACACACTTCGTGTGATGAACAGCAGACGGGGAAAGCCCCATAGTCACGAGGATCTGCAGTTCAGTGGTGGAATCCGGTAACCTAAGACCCGGGACTTGGAGTGGTGAAGCACATGAG